CCTAGAATTTTCTTCAATTTTTCTCTACCTTGTTAGCATTTGTTTCCCTTGAGATTTGACTGATCTCTTGTTATTTCACCCACCTTTTTATTCAAAATTGTGAAAGACAAATTAAAAGGTGTTTTAGGAATAATAGTGAGTAAAAAAATATGATTATATTTTTTCAATTTTAAATTGTGAGTAAGAAGCTAAGAAGAACACGAGAGAAATAGAATAAAAAAGTGACAATAACAGCACTCAAAAGTAAATGTCAAAGAACCAAAAGCTTTAATTAATCAACACTATGCTAAGATATGCCTGAACTACATAACACCTAACAACCCTCTGTATCTTTGACTAATCAGAAATCGAAATCCTTGTCAACCTAGGTCAGCCTTCGCCTCAACCACCAACAGCAAATAATTCCTTTTTGACCGGCCAAAACCAATAACAACGCAAAAGTTTCAATCCATTACGATTAAACAATTCTCAAAAGGGCAAAAAAAAAGAGCTTACAGAGATTTCATTTAATATTAATAACAATGGTTTTCTCCGATTGAGTTATATTGTTGTGTTTGGACTTTAGAATTAACATGCGTGATTAATGATATATTTGTCGTGAGTTCGATATTTCATTATGATTAGCCTAACTATCAATTAATGATATATATTTGTCGTGAATTCGATATTTCATTATGATTAGGCTAACTATCAATTAATTTTGACAATGACACATGCCTGGCTACAAACAAAACAACTGCATGGCTGCTCTTACAGCTTCCGATGACCTAAGTTTTGATTGTATAATATAAATATTCTGAGTCTATCAAATATATCACATGTACAAAAAAGTAAAAAGAAGATCGATCATGATAATGATCAAATATAAGAAGCATTTTAAACGTAGTAAGCACGAAGATTTGGTCGGATTTAAGCATCATTGATCTTCGATTATTGTCCCCCAATTACAGCTTCCTCAGATGTAGCCCTTTTAGAACGTGGGACTTGGTAATTGGCCATGTGGTATGTCCGAATGAAAAGTCAAGGAGTAAAAGTCTTTGTGAATCTATGAATAAGCGACACGAATTTTATTTGACTTGAAGATGGTTGGTCAACTTTCCGCAGGTGCAGAACCCCTTTAAGTTTGGAGACGGCAAACTTAATATTTGTTTAAGCATGTGATCAGATGACAAATGCGGAACTCCTTTCACTAAATACGGCTTTGTTAGTAACACGTGTCGTTCATGTGAATACGTAGCAAGAAAATTACTTTTGACGTTGATAGTCGAGCAAACAAGATTCAATTGCTTAATCACGAATTATATTTAATTAATATTCCAAATGCTTTAATTTACGTCCGCCACAATACAAGGCGCCTGATTGACTCTATATAACAAAGCAATTCTTGGACCACCTCCACATTACCTACGCGATCAAACCTTTTGTGAAAACTCAGGTTCAGAAAAGCTATATATATATATATATATATATATAGCTCAGAGAAGAAAACACACGTGCACACTTGCCAGGCTACAAAAATACAAGAACAACAAGGTCATGTGGGGGCTGCTGCTGCTGCACCAAAGCCATTAAAATGCCGAAGAGGTACGCCCAGTTTTTATGCATTTCCGATTTTATATGTAAATAATTCGACCTACCAACCCCTAGAAAAAAAAGAGGTAAAGAAAAGATGCGTTTCCTGCTCACAGACTGTAGGTTTTACCTTAAGATATCAACCGTCTGATTGGCCTTGGAAGTCGGTGTTTGTTTAATCCGAGAACGATCCAACGGTGACAACTGCACACTATTTGGATTCTCTGTGAAACACGTTTTAACTTTTTTACAGGGAGAGGACTGTATCTTGTCAACTTTTTCCCGAGACGATCAATCAATCCATCAAATCAAACATCAGAAATATATAAAAGAAAGAAAGCCAACTGCTGGTTTGCTGGTTCACCCTCTTCTGCAAAATTTGCACCTTTTTGGTCTTAATGGTACGTATTAGGCTTTAATATTCTTTTTATTTCTTTTTTATTTGTATGTGTTGTTGTTGTTGATGACTAGTGAATGCATGGAGCACCCTGCAAACATGAATAAATAATTGAATGTTGAAAAGAAAACATTTCCATTTAGTAGATTTGCAAATGTTGATATAGGATTTTTATTTATCGAAAGTTAAAACGCAAGACAACACTCAGTTTTCAACTTATGCTTTTGTCGAAAGCTGCAGCTGACCAGCTTGCTTATTATGGGACGTCAATATTTTCCTTATCATGAGACGTAGCGGCGGAATCAATATTTCACATTAGAATGAATTCTTCATAAAATTTTGAAAAATAATTTAAATAGGAGACCTCAAGCACTAATCGATTACTAACCTTCACAAAAATTTTAATACGATACTAACTACTTGGTTTAGCCAACTTCATAATATCATTTCATATTGATTAATAATTTATTCATTCAATATAACCTCATCATCTACACTATTAAAAACTCAAAAGTTAATAATTTATATTCCAACATATAGAAGAAATACAAACAAATTCATAAATCTCAATATGAAGGTATCCTACTCAGACATGTAAAAAGGTAGGGAAAAAAATTCACAAAGCTTAAGTTAAACAAAAGAGGAGGAGAGAGAAAAAAAGGAGGAATTTTAGTGCAAATATTATAACCTAACCTAAAAGATTTAGGGCATGTTTGGGAGTGCTTTTGGAAGGTCCAAAAGCTCTTTCTGATAACTAAAAGCGCTTCTGACAGCGTTTGGTAGAAAATTTTAGAAGCGCTTATGGGTCATAGAAGCGCTTCTTGGAGAAGCACGTGCTATGTCCTTCTTCAGGAAGCACTCCAAAGTGCTTTTCCAAGAAGCACTTTAATTTTTTATGAAAATTCTAAATTTTTATAATAAAAGTACTTTTGTTAGAAGCGCTTATGAGCAGAAATACTTCCTAGAGAAGCAGTTCCGAACAAGATAGAGTAGAAAAGTGATTAAGAAGTTTTATGATTAATTTGTAGATAAAAAGAACACAATATATTATAATATTATATATAATATATAAATACAAGGTGTATAAAGATTGAGGGGGTTCTGGGACCACTATGGTCCCATCATGGCTTCGCCCATGATAAGAAGAAATTACATGTAATGAGGATGTCAATATAATGGTATCTCAAGCTTATTACACATTATTATGTTAGAAAATTGTATTGTTATATCAAAAAATTAAAATACATAATAATAAGTGATTGATTCAAAATAACACCACAGTGATATCTCCTCTATAAGTAAAATTTTCTCCCCTAACAGCTTGGGCGGCTTACTACTAATTCTGAAAGTGATGTTACATCATCCCCAATATATACATTTATTTTTGCCGACTAGTAAATTTTTAATCTCAAACTAGTGGATTGGTTAATCACATCAGTCGATAACATGAACTCAAAAGGTACCAAAAATCCTGTGGCCTACTGTCTGACTAGTCAAAGCTGTCGGGTCCCAATCTAGTCATAGCTCTTTTTTTGTGTGTATATCAAACACTTTAAATATCAGTTAAGCGTATTAGCTTAAGGTTGTCTTGTCTGCATAATCAACCATATTATTAGACCCCCCACCCCACCGTCCACCGTCTCATAATATAAGGGTAGGGTTTCAAAAAGTCGTGAAGACGTTTACCCTAAACGCACAGCATAATGAATTGGCCTACCACCACCGACGTCCATGTTTTCTATTGATCATATTTATTTCCTCTTCAAGTTCGATTTCCATCATAATAAAGCGACCAATTGAAACTGCTCTCAAAATGTCAACTACACACACACACACACATATATATATATATATATATTCATGCATGCTTATACAATATACAAAATTCAAATTAAATTAATGCAGATGCTGGTGGGTTCCAGTTCCATATGCATCTCGAGCTCATTGGGGAGGAATGTGTGCTCTCCACGTGCTAGTGTGTCCCACGTGTAGTGGCCGCCTGTAGGTATGCATGGCCCACCACTAGAATTCGTCTTGACTACATAGATCATACTTTTTATCGAATAATTTTTCCTTTGTCGAATGCATCAATTATCAACATTATCTACCTACAACTGTATCTGTAACTGTAATGCAAGTTATTATTGACTCCCAGTAAAAATATAAAAGGTAAAACGGTATATATAGAAAAGTTAACAGTAAACTTTAATAGGGTTATACAATGTGAATTACGAATTACTATAATTGGGGCACAATCGAAGCTTTATTTATTAGTAATGTCGTCAGCATAAGAAGCATAGGTATCAATGCACAATGAGTTATATACATACATATATATATATGGAAGAGGAACAGTCCCACCTTGCCATTTACAAATACAAAGGCTGCTTTTTATATTTTATGTTTTTTCTGCTGGAATTTTAAAACCTGCTTTGGTCGTACGTGGAGCCTGCCTCTTTCTTTTTTCCCTTTTTGGTCAATTTAGGCATTGCATCTTTCTAATTTTGTTTTGGTGTATCTAACTGTCCGTTTGGGAGAGCTTATAAAAGGGTTAAAAATTGTTTTTTGACAACTATAATCTCTAGACTCTAAAATCTAGAAGTGCTTTTAGATCATAAAAGTACTTTCTGGGGTGTGCTTCTTCAAAAAGTGTTCCCAAATACTTTTCTTATGAAAATTTATAATAAAAACACTTACGATCGCTAGAAGCGCCTATAAACAGAAAGAATAATGCCACTTTTACCATATTTGTATATAAAATCCTTATACCATCTTATGTGGTAGCTGAGGTGGACATCACACTCCCCAAGAACACTTCCAGTTACCCTCTGATATTCCACTTCCTAGCAAATGTTCTCTCAGTTAAAAATGTTGTGGTTAAAATTTCAAGATGAATAGAAATAAACAAATATACTGCCTTTATTTTATTTTATTTTTCCCCTGTAGCTGTAGCTAGAACTAGAAGAAGACATATAGAAAGAAAGAAAGAAGAAGAAGAAGATAAACTTTTCTTGTCTGCCATTTGAATTGGATGGAGGAAATGTACGGATTGCAATCTACGGCGGAGTACGGGGACAAGGGTTTTCAATCAACGGCGGAGTACGAAGACAGGGCGCTGATGACCCCGGAAAATCTGATCCTACCCTTGGATTACCAGAGCCTGCTCGTCTCATCCGGAGCCTTCCGTGGGGAGCATCATCATCATCGGGTCCCGATGTTCGGATCGGACGACGTGGTACTGTACTCGGCCATGTCGGAGGCAGCTTCACCAACAATCACGCCGGAATTTCAACGCGAGGAAGACGTGTTTGGCGCCATCAAAGCCAAAATTGCCTCGCACCCCACTTACCCTAGACTCATTCACGCTTATATTGAGTGCCAGAAGGTGAACTTTTCAGAACCCACGCCCACCAACAAATAACATCACTAAATTTCTACAAATAATATGTAGTCTGAGTTTTCTTTGTTTGTTTCAAAATAAAGAAATTTTAGTGTCAGCCTCGGACAGTGTTCTTCTTAGCTTCTTCGATGACAGTGAGGAGGTGCAAATGAATTTAACTTTTGTAAATGTTTTTTTTTATGTAGGTAGGGGCGCCTCCGGAAATCGCGAGTTTCTTAGACGAAATCCGCCGAGAAAACGACTTTTATAACTATAAGCAGCAGCATCAGCAGCAGCAGCAGCGAGGCTCTTGTAATTCTAATTCTTCTATGTCCTCCACGTATTTAGGAGCCGATCCCGAGCTCGACGAGTTCATGGTATTATTGGTCCCCCCCCTTCTCTCTCTCTCTCTCTCTCTCTCTCTCTCTCTCTCTCTTGTACTTTATAATTTAATTGGTGTTAGATTGCTACTGATCTATTTTTCTGGCTAAGTTTGTCTAAGTTTTCTCCTTTAATTAATCTCGGTTTGTTTATATATTTAGGAAACCTACTGCGAGATGCTGGTGAAATACAAATCAGATCTCTCAAGGCCTTTTGATGAAGCAACCACTTTCTTGAACAAGATTGAACTGCAACTTAGCAATCTCTGCACTTCATCTGCTCACGCCTCCTCCATTAGAACCCTCTCCGGTTAGTCTCTCTCTCTCTCTCTCTATCTCACCATAGTTGTAGCTTGATTTGGCTCGTGTTAGCACGATGAATATAAAACGCACGAAATATTGCAGCCACTGGTTTCCTAGTCTTACCCTTACTTACCTACCTTCGGTGATAATACTTGAGACTTATCTCTCTCTCTCTCTCTCCCCGAACGGCCCACAAATTGAGAAGCACGAAACAAACGAAAGTTTCTGATCGTATGCCGATAATGACACAAACAAATACCCACCCGAAAAAAAAACCCTAGTATCTCTATCTACAACTGAAAGAGACTCTTCCTTCTTCAATTATAAAAACCCACATATATATTTTCCAAACTTTATTAGTGCTAGCTCTTCCTCGGAACTGTAATCGGCAAATGCTTTATATGTTATATCTTATCAAATGCCTGCCCTCTCTCTCCCTCTCTCTCTCTATGTGTTTTTTTATGTGTTTGTCTGTGTGTTATCAAAGTCCAACCTCGTTGTTTGTTGTGTTTGTTTCCTCTTTCTCATTTTTATCTTTTTCATTTTCTCCCCAAATGCGCCATAGAAGAACCGGCTTGCAAAGTAAAAGCTTCGCTTTTTTGTTTCAGAGATTCTGATTTTGACGTTTCAAAGATCTGCAGTGATGACATCTTAAATAGTTGTTTGATTGTTTCATACAGTGGCCATTAATTTGCTCTCCTGAGCGAGCTAGCTTGCTAGTACTCTTCGGATGCTCATTATCACTCCCTATTTCGAGTGAAAAAAGTTTCCTTTTCCTTTCCTTTCCTTTCCATTTCCTTCCCTTTCCTTCCCTTTCCTTCCCTTTCCTTTCTCCGCACATGTTCTTGTACTTCCAAGTATAAAATGATCTAGGCTAATTATCAACTTCACAATAGGAGTTTATTTGATCTAGTGTCTGCATGTTAATGAAGTTTGAAGGCTTCCATTTCATTTTTATACACCCTCCTTCGTTTGCGGTTATTTCTCTCACAAGAATTTATGATATAGATAACATTCAAGTTCCTCTTTTTTGAGTAAAATATGTATTTTTTGGTGTGCCGACATCAGTGTATATATGGATGTTGCAATTTCTGATTTTGACATTAAAATGAGTGCATTTAGACCAACATTTTCAGATGGATGTATCAGTGTGGGTCGGGAGACTCGTAGCAAAATTGTTTTGGGGAATGTAACAAGTTTTGTTCATGAGAAGTTGTGTGGAACTTGGCATCGTTATATGCATTCATTCCCTTATTTGTTGGTCTTCTAGCTGATAAGAGTCGTAGTTTCTTTGTTTACATGACAAATAGGATGACAAAGGAAAAAAATTTCTAATTGATTCTTACTGGAAAAATGAAATGCAATACCACCATGCACTTTCTGGTTAGAGTTTGTTTTTGAACTAGTTCTAGTCTTTTTTGAGGAACTTTTCTATTGAGAGTGGCGATAACAAACTAAACTCACACACACTATACGAATGTTAGGACTTGAAACCCAGAACTTTTCTTGAGGAGCAATTACTCCAAAACCAATACAGAGTCTAGTGGGGCCTTTGCAAACTAGTTTTAGCCTTAAATGGAGGAAATGGTTCTCTATATTTAAAGAAGACGGTATATTTGCTGCTTGTATAAATTATTGATTCTCGAATTCCAACACAGCATGAGTGGTGATATGTGCACATCGGAAATTGTCCAATTAGTAGCTCTCTGGCTGGTTCTTGGCATCGCAGCCAAACTTATCTTGGAAATTAGAAAGTAGAATAGAATCAAAGCTATGTGTACTTCAAGTCTGGCCCTCCCTAGGCCATGATCATTAGGAACAAAAGTGAATTGGCAAAGCTCGCATAGGAATCTTAGTAATCACGTGAGTCCATATCATGCATTGTGTCTTGTGAACTTTCTTCCCTTTCTAAGCGCCTGTCTATTTTAATAGATACCCAAAAACAAGATGTAGAAGTACAAATCGGATTTGTTGATAATGTAATTGTTTATTTGGGCAAAGATTTGTGCATTTAGGCATCTCTCAATCACAGAAAACCTGCTGTTACTTCCTTTTGTTGTTTTTTATATTGTATCAAAGTACATAATGCCTTTCCAGTGTGCTTAATTGGCCTCGTGCTCTCACTGCTGCGTATCACTAGATTCTTTAAGCATATATTCACGTGCTTGGATGGATGGTTTAGGTGCCTATCTGGTTGGCCTGCCTGCATATGTAAAGTCTTGTTTGCTCCTTTTTCAATACTATCTGCATTCATTTTTCTCTCTCTCTCTCTTCATATCTGTTTTCTTAATTTCTCTTTATATAATAAAATCCTTAGTTGTAATGGATTTCAAGTGTTGAGTTTACAAGTAGAACATAAAATCTGGAAGTTATATAGGCAGAATTCATGGAGAAGAGAATAGGCTTGTTATTTCAGTGCGATTATGGACGTGACATTTATTGAGATATAGCTAGGCTTTTATCTTCCGTGCACAGCGACGATGCGCATTCTTGTGTTGGAACGGTAACTGAGATTATCATACAGCCGAGAGACTTTTCCCAAGTTTTTATATTTTATTTGGTGAAAGTGGTGTGATGAGGGGCATAATGGGGAGAGGGTTTTAAATACTACTGGTCTGGTATGGAAGGAAGAAAACTTTAATAGAAAAGAAAAGCCCGGGTAGAGCGGGTGGTCGAAGTTCTCTCCTCTCTACACATTCAGTCATTCGTTCATTCATTCACTCACATGTACTCCCGTAGTTTACGCTGTTAGCAGCTTTTATGGACTCTCTCTCTCTCTCATGAGCTTCTTCTGGGCATTGTGGCACTGCTACTTGTGCTAAGTGCGTGTCATTTCCATGGGCCGTGGGGTCTTTCGGCCTTTCATTATTGCTTCACACGTGTCTCTCTCTCTCTCTCCCCCCTCACTCCACTCTGTGGACCTTTGCCTCTCGCACTGGGTCCCCGCAATTCAATCCTGTTCTCTTCTTTTCTTCTTCATTATTAATACTTTGTGTGTTAATTTGAGCTAGAAAGAACTGAGCCTCTAATTATTGCAAAACCCTATGAAAATAAAATGGACATGGAGTCATGCATGTATATGCATATTGGCCCCTACCATCCTATCCAATGCACGGTTTCTTAACTTATTATGCAAATTTAGGATGTATTTTTATACTAGATGGTACAGGAACCTAATTTTGTAGGGTGCGTGTCCTTTATAAATGGGACCCCATGGATCGTTAAACCCCCACCACTGTTTATAGAGTAGGGTGTTTCTCCGTCAGGAGGGAGAGGGAGGGAGGGTTATAGTATGGTGGGTTGGGAAGCTGTGTACTGTCCACTGTGTATGTCAGTTTTGATTTGATTGACGTCCCCACCCGTCTTGTCCACTCTCAGTTCCTGACACACCTCTCTCTTCTAGTCTCCATCCGGCTGACAATGAAATACTACCACACATTCTGTGTCACTGCCCTCCTCCTCGAGCCACCTGCCCTATACTACTCTATGGTCTAGAGTCTTGACCTAGTTGCCTTTGAAAGCTTTGTTCTTGGTGTGGGTCCAGCCCATTCCAATTAACTTAATTTGGGGATTTAAATTTTTTAATATAAGTTTATTCTTTTCTATTAAGTTTGAATCCTTGTTCCCAAGTTATATGTGCATGTGTCGCAGGGTAAACTTGAATTTATATGCGCTTTCCCAAAGTTTGCCAAGTTATATGACAGGAAAATTTTGATATGAGAACAAGAAATCACACAAAATGTTGAAGTTGGACAATTTTAATTATTTTCACAAAATCAAATCAGCATTTTAGCCCATGATGCTACGTACGTATGTTATATCCAATCTTTCTGAAGAACATTTGCAATGGAATGTTGCTGATCAGATGAAGGCGGTGCGTCATCAGATGAGGATTTCAGTGGCGGAGAAATAGAAGTGCAGGAAGCTCAACAAAGGGGTGAAGACCGAGATCTCAAGGACCGGCTCATGCGTAGGTTTGGCAGTCACATTGGCACCTTGAAGCTTGAATTCTCCAAGAAGAAGAAGAAAGGAAAGCTACCAAAAGAAGCAAGGCAAACGTTGTTTGATTGGTGGAGTGTTCATTATAAATGGCCATACCCAACGGTGCAAAAATTTATACATCTCTTTTTTCACAACATACATTTTCGACAAATCAAAATATATGCTAACCCTTTGGCTTGAATCTCTCATCCAGGAGGCTGACAAGATTGCGCTGGCTGAATCGACGGGGCTAGATCAGAGGCAAATCAACAACTGGTTTATCAATCAGCGCAAGCGCCATTGGAGACCATCTGAGAACATGCAATTTGCAGTGATGGATAATATTGCCGGTCCATTTTTCACAGATGACTGAGGTGCTCTTGCATTGCATGTACATTCTCCCAAATGCTTCATCTCCTGCAAAATTTGTTTTGTGCTTTGTGCTGCGCATGCTCTGCCTTCATGTACATGATCTGGAAAAATGCAAACTTTAGTGACATTGACATTGGTTTATTAACTTTACCCCATTCTCTCCAAGATCAATAGAGGGTAAAAATTATTGTAATTTGCTTCCATTTATACTATGGAATTTTACCACCGTTGGTAATGAATGAAATGCTTACATAGTCTTTGCTATCACTCATACTCGCAAACAGAGCAGGTACATTCTAGCCGCGCCAGCTTGTATTCCAACTGATGTGACATCATTTCATTTTTTCTGTTCAATGAATTTAAATAGGCTAGTTAAAGAGTAGGGCATTGCATACGTGGGTTAGACTAGTTGCGAAGGAAGTGTGTCCGCCCCTTTGCACTCAATTTCGATCTTCCCTTCAGAATATCACTTTATTATTTATTTTTTGTAAAGTAGAGCAAATTTGAACACCACAGTAGTTTGATAAGAGTTGGGTCAAAAATCCGACGGAACTTGATATAATAGGTTAGCTTCATCAAGTTGCGAACACAAAGTTGAGTCCAAGCATCACTATTGGGCTAGCCCAGATTGTTCACCGTATTGGGCTTACAGAAGAAACAATGGCCCATCATGTACTGGATTGCAACTCTCTGGTCCGATCACTGAGTCTCACAAAACGGCTCTATCTCTGTTTTACATGTGTCAGCGAAGGAGAAACGGATAGCTGACATGGCTTCGCTTCAGCTTCATCTTCTTCCACTCTCAACCGGTCCATGTCTACCCAGTTCCCGGTTCAGACGCAGTCTGGTCCGATCCTCGACCGAGCGCCAGGCGCTCTTCAACCGCATTGCCCCTGTCTACGATAACGTAAAGCTTTTGCTCATTTTACTTCAAGTTGCAGTGTCGCTTTTCTTTGTAAATAGTTGATGGGTCTTGATATTTTTCTCCTTTTCTTTTAGTTGAATGATTTGCTGAGCTTGGGTCAGCATCGAATATGGAAAAGAATGGCAGTGTCCTGGAGTGGGTAAAATTCAAATATATATTTTTTTTGGGTTCGGTTGGTATTTTTTGATATTTGGTTATCTGGAGTTCGATTTTTTTAAGAGAAATTTTTTTTGGGACAGAGCAAAAAAGGGAGACAGTGTGTTGGATTTGTGCTGTGGAAGTGGGGATTTGGCGTTTCTCTTGTCTGAGAAAGTTGGGTCCAGTGGCAAGGTTTGTTCATTGTTGTTTGTCATACAATTGATGTTACCAAAGTTTGGTTTGTTGAAATTTTGGTGCTTTTCCATGAATCTGAACTGATTTTTAAGACTGGGATTGTAATTTGAACGCTGGCAGGTGATTGGTCTCGATTTCTCGAAAGAGCAGTTATCAGTTGCTTCTTCGCGGCAAAAGTTGATGTCAAAAGCCTTCTACACGAACATTGAGTGAGCACTGGTAAATCTAGTGGTCAATCAACTAAAAAAGTTTTGAACTTGAATTCAGGATAATCAATCATGTTATGCATTGCATCTTAGGTGGGTTGAAGGTGATGCAATTGATTTGCCATTTTCTGATGGTCACTTTGATGCCATCACTATGGGTTATGGTCTGAGAAATGTAGTAGACAAACAGAAGGCCATGCAGGAAATGTATAGAGTTTCAAAAGCAGGTTCCACTCTCTCTCTCTCTCTCGCATTGTAGTTGTTGGTTGTGGTTTACTGTTTCTCATTCTTGCTGGTGTTTACAGGCTCAAGAGTATCTATCCTTGACTTTAATAAAAGCACCAATCCAGTTATTGCCTTCACTCAGGTATTCATAGCCAGAAATTTTGAGTTTTTTGATAATTTGGTCAATGTTTTTGTATTGTTAGCAACATGACAAACCGAGAGTGCTGGATGTTTCAACCTTTGCTAGGAATTGATGATTGACAATGTTGTTGTACCTGTGGCTTCTGGTTTTGGCCTTGCAGAGGATTACAAATACTTAAAGAGTTCAATCCGGGAATTTCTGACAGGTGATTTCATCTTGATCAACATAGCATCATGCTTTTTGCTCTTTATTTTGGTTACCTATTAGTTTTAAGGCACCTGCACTGAAGTTGTTTTGATAGTTTAAAGCTCTCTTTGTACTACTGCGTTTATATATTCCATCTTCAAATGTAGTGAATTTGAATGCCTTGGCAAAATTTGGAGGCCTTTGTGCATTGACTTAATAAGATGGATAAGAAAAGGTACTAGTTTGTTGATTAAAAGTTCTCTATGAATACAGGTAAGGAGATGGAAGAGCTGGCTTTAGATGTAGGTTTTTCCAATGCCAGATATTATGAGATTGGTGGAAGCCTCATGGGGAACTTAGTAGCCACCCGTTAAATCTTGTGTTATCTTTCAAATTGTGTTTTGTTGAACATGAAACACGTGCCTTTGGTAGAGAAGAATGATGTTGGACTTGAACATTTCCTTTCAATTATTCTCTCATAGCTGTGAATAACAATCTTTAAGAGCATTACTAATGATCAATTTTACTTCTAACAAGTGAGAATGATAATATTGACCATATACTGTATGGCTCAGAAAAATGAGAAAAAAAAATTCTTTATTTAAAAGTCTGGCTCAACCATTCTCAGTATATCTACAAATCCTCGATGAATGCCACTTTGCACTTTATCACAGTGGCTCAAAATATGCCGTCATTAGATGTGTTTTCCTATTGAGCTGCGCAGGGCCAAGTTGTTACTTGAGATTCCTGGGCTCCTTCACTGGAAAAATGAAGTGCGGCTCTGGAATTTTGAGAATCCTTTCTTTTCCATCTCATGTGGTCACCTGGGATAGAAAGAACTATGTGAAACATTAGCAACTGAAGAAGCACCATCTGCATTTAGAGGGTAACCCGGGTCGTCGCCGGTGTCATTCAGTTCCATGGTCTTTTCATCTATAAAAGGTGGATTGGCGGGTGCAGGAAGGTGCTTCTCCTTCTTTGTTAGCATCTGCAGTGCCTTTGACATTGTGGGTCGTAAAGAGGGACTCTCTTGGGTGCATAGAAGTCCTATTTGCACCACTCTCAGTATCCCATCCTTAACATCGTCATTGCAATTCTGCAGCATTAAATTTGAGTCGTATAGTTCCTCTGTAGTCCCTGCTTGAAAGTGCTTCCAAGTCTGTTTAGCCGAATAAACACAGGAGCGACAAAGTAAGTACGAGGATAAAATCCAAATTGTTTATGATGGAAAAAAAAAAAAAAAAAAAAAAAAAAAAAAAAAAAAAAAATTGAAAAGAAAATGAGAGAATTTGGGTGGAAGGGGAACTTTGACTTTATTGTGACTATGTGCTGAGTACTCTGCAGATTTGCTCCTGTTGTTCTGCCTTCCAGTGACTATCTCCAATATAAGCACTCCAAAACTGTAGACATCTACCTTCTCTGTCAGCTGGCCATGAGCTAGGTACTCTGGAGCCATGTATCCCCTGAGATTAATTACAAAAACCAGTAAGCTAAACGTTTTTCATGGTGTGATACGTTTGTGTTCACCAAGACAATTCCAAAATGAGTTTGTATGTATTATGTATATATGCAGCATGCTTACAATGTTCCTGCAATGGCTGTGCTGATGTGGCTCTTATCTTCCTCGAAAGACCTAGCCAACCCGAAATCTGCAATCTTAGCTCGAAGCCTTGAATCCAAAAGGATGTTGCTAGCTTTTATGTCTCTGTGAATGATCCTTGTTTTCGAGTTGTCGTGAAGGTGGACTAAGCCTTCTGCTGTCCCAACAATGATCTCATATCTCTTGTCCCAGTTTAGTGTTTTACCTCTTTCTTGATCTGTTCAAATTTGTTGAAAACATTAACATGCATTGCATGAACTATCACGTCATTAAGACTGGTTTAAATAACATAAAGTTATGAAATTACCGAAGATGAAGCGGTCAAGACTCCTGTTGGGCAGGTATTCATAGACGAGAAGGCTTTCGGGTCCTGCGCAACTACAACCCAACAGCCTGACCAAGTTTTTGTGTTCCACGCTGCTTATAATGTTGATTTCATTATAGAAATCTGCTGCTCTGTGTCTGTTGTTAAAGAAAAGCCTCTTCACTGCAATCTCTCTCCCATCAGCCAGAACTCCCTGCAAGTAGAAAACCACTTAGTTTCTGACCATGTGTTTGATAATCCTAGATATGTTCTGTTCCAGTGAGAGAGAGAAAGGCATTGAAAGATATAGGATTAAAGAAAGGGAGATAAGGTACCTTATAAACTGTTCCAAAACCTCCTTGTCCAAGCTTGTTGGCAATGTCGAAAGATCCCGTGGCCTTTTCAATCGTTGAGTACTTGAAGTTTAAGCTGCTGTCATTGAGGGTTTTTGCCCACTTTTCTGCATCATTTGATCCTGCAGAATTACCAATGCTCATGAGAGAATAGAGCCGGGGGTTGACCTTCATGTCTAATAAATTTACTTTCTGAAAGCAATAACTATGTGAAACAAAGCCTTTTTTTTTACCTCTGCGTTTCTTTTGTATATATCTGTGCTTCCAGATATAAAATCCAATAGCTACTCCAACTACCAAAACCACCAAGGAGCTGATAACTGAGACTACTATCACAATTATGGTACCTGCAAAAGTCATCAATATAAAATTGATCATGATCAAGCCAAAATTTTCGCTATAACAGGTCAAGAAAAAAGGGCAGCATCCCTTTTTACCTCTAGAACTTCCATTCCCCACTTCCTTGTTGAGAAAATCTCTATCTGAGTACCTCATGAAGCACCCTGTGTATAATGCTCTCCCCTCAGACCAAGGCAAGCATCCCAACATTGATACGGATGCATTTTCCAGACATTGCCTGCAAGAGTTCTCATCCAAAGTTCTCCAGCAATCAGCCAACACATAAGCCGATTCGTTCGCCATCCCACTAACACTCACCTCACCCCTTGCATACCCTCCATTGCTTGGAGCAGATTCAACTGCACGCTGCACAACCTGCCTTGCTGATTCTTCGAACGCCGTACTCTTCCTCGTTGTGTTCCCGCACACTGCCCTGTCGTCTGATCCTCTAAACTCCTCATAAAATGTGTAGTTTTCGGACCTCATGAAGCAACCGTCTAGGTAAATCCGACCCCCAGTGTAAGGAAAGCATTGGGGAAGCACCGTACGTGCCTCAGCGTAGCATAGCACACAGTCTAGAAGAGAAAGATCACCATAGCATTGAGCTAGGCCATAGTTGGTGTCAGGGCCTGAACCAGTCCTTGCCATTCCAAAACCAGAAGTTCGCATTTGTTCACTGATGTTTTCCATTGCGCGCACAAAGTTTGGAACAAACACAGTTGAGTTGTGCTCCCGTTGCTTGCTGCACGTGATTTGGACCGTCTGGGTTCTTGGATCTCCTAGAGCCATTCCTAGTAGCAGCAGGATCTTCAGGAGAAGAAGATGTTGGGAAATGACTGAGATGCTGCATTTCTTCATTTTTGAGATGAAATGTAAACTTTGAGTTAATGGGCGGCTACCTCCATCCACTTTATATGAAGCTGTTTGACAATTGGGCAAAATGGAATTAGAGATGTAGCAGTGACAGATGGCATTACAACAGAGCCCCAGTAGATCAATCAAAACAGCAATTGAAATATTTCAGTGAAATATGCCTTGTCCAACTCCAACAAATGCCTTTTATCCAATAATCTTTGAAATTCAATCTATATTTTGATCAAAGAAGCATCTTTCTCATTGAGATGGGTGGTTAGTCCAGGAGGAAAGATGGGTTGGTCCAAAATCATAATGATCAGGGTGTGAAAGTGAAAGGACATAGATAGCATTCATATTTATTTAGGCACCGTCTTTAAAGTTTTGAGCAGGTGGTTGGTTCATTTTGCTGTGACATCTTAAGTCAAAGGGGCAGGTCTCTTGGATTGGATCTGTCACCATAAAATTGTTGCAGCCCCAAAGTTTTTCTCTGGGTTCACACTTTCACAGCCAATTCTGGAACAAGAAACGTTTCTATCAGCCCCTTTAATTGGCTTTGAGATGAAAATTGAAATAAATCATCGCTATAACAAGAACAACAAGGGATCCCACAAGAATTTCAAGTTGGGTCCCAGAATTTTGGATGAAGGTGAAGATGACGATTCTAATGTCGGTATTAAATTATAGAGGGAACGTGATGCTTGAGAACACCACAGCTCTCTGAGCTCAGCTAACCTACACAAATAAATGTCCAACAAGATGAGACCCTACCCATCCCCACCACGACCGCCATCAACAGCTAACGGTCAACGTCTAAACTGCTGACTTTCTATACCGGTCTCGGGTGACTGAACAGAAGGGCAAGATGTTAAGCAGCATCGGTTATTATGGCACAAAAGAAAAGAGAAGAAGAGAAAAACAGAGACCAGCACAAACTATATATGAACTATATATATATATATATATATCCTTAAATTGAATGTCTAATTAATATATAGTAAACAAAAAACTATGTTATTGAAGACATTGGAACTGGGATTAAACTAAACTGAGACCAGCACAAACTGCATGAACGATATCGTAAGTAAAGTATAATTACAGATAGAAATATACCAAAGAATCAAGGATTTCGTATCACTCCATTGAAAGGCGAAAAAAATGATAGCTTTGAATCCATGAAAATGGATTTCCAAAAACAACACATACATATATGTGTACATACCTTTTGTTGTTGCATTGGATCGGTGAGCTGGAACTTGGAGTTCCGGGAGAGATGAAGCTAAGCGAAACAGATAGAAGGGCAATTTATATCACAAGTCAAGAGTGGGGGACAGCAAGTAGAGTCTAGAGAGATGAAATATTTTCGTCTAAATTTGTTCAAGTTGAATTGAAACCTGAGAAGCAAAGACTAAAGACTGAGGAGGGGACAAAGTGGAAACGACGTAGCTATCTCTCTCTCTCTCTCTTTCAAAGACTAAAGACTGAGGAGGGGACAAAGTGGAAACGACGTAGCTCTCTCTCTCTCTCTCTCTCTCTCTCTTGTAACACTTGGGTGCCTTTGACTATTAGGAGTTGAATGCTCCGGAATTCCAGTGGGAATTTCCTGTTTGAGGCTTCTATCTTTGAAAATTTACAAAATGGTTTGTAGGTAGGTAGGTACTGGCGGTACACTCCAGAATAAATATTCAAAGATTTTTGTGTTTTGTGTTCTGTTTTTGACCCTTGGCCATTGCAAGCAACCAGTTGCTAGAATAACATTCAACATATAACCATTCAATAACGTACACTCTCAGTTTTATAAGTGATAAACAATGTCCAAGTGGGGAAGAATTAATGTTAATAATATTTGTTGTGATTGTTAGTGTTGTTGTTGTTGTTACAATTGTTATTTTAAAAGAAAAAAAAAATAGCAACTGCACATTTAAAATGTTCTTCTTTTGTTTCCGTGATCAACCCTGAAAATATGTATGTTCGAAGGAGTCTTTTGCAGAGAAATTTTGCCAGATTGTCTTTGTATATCAGACAAATGACATTTTACACCAAATTGTGTTTTACAAAGAAAAAGTGCAACGCGTTGCTTGAAAACGGTAGAGCTGCTGCTGCGTCTCCATGTGCCTATATCTAAACCAAAGCTGCGTCTCCATCTATTTTTCTTTACGTTACTTTTCTTTATTTTGACTTTAGGACGGTTGTTTCATTAAAATTATCACCGTCATTTGAAAATATTGATCAAGCCAATTTTATATATATATATACAATGACATCCACCTCTACTACCCCTCTCTGCTTTCCTCTTTATTTACAATGACATCCACACAGTAATAACGTCCGGACATCCGCATTGGAGAAGAACTATATAAATATATAAGAAGAAAAACAGAGGATTACTTTGGTAACTTCTGCCTGCATGGTAGTATTAGTAATATATATACTCCCAAATATTTCTCTACAGCACATTTTACATATATAGGACATTCTGCCCTACCGATGTTGTAAAACATATACAAGGTACGCAAAATTTGATTGCAATCTGACTGTTTCAGCTCCTACATCACTTGAATGCTAGGAAAATCAATAGAGGAGGAAGAAGCCATGGGTGCGGGAAAAAAAAGAGGGAACAAGAAGATTGAGGATCGAGGACTGTGAGTCTCAAGCTCTGATACCATGAAAGGTTTTGAATATTCTCAATGATTTTCATTGAACAATCATGTGATAATTGTATACAATGCTTTGCTTGGTGTCTACACAAATGATTTCCTATTCTAGGCAAGAATCAAGTCCTTGAGAGACAAGGAATATATACAGGAAATCTATGAAATAAATACAAATAAAACAGGAAACTAAATCACGTCTCATTAGAACTTGCTCATCATCTCTCTTGAAGGAAACAAATAGGAGAAATACAAGTCCTGGAAAGTTGGAGATGAAATTCTGAAATGCTGGTTTGGTGAACTGGGTCTTGTGAGCTTAGGATGAACACTAATGCTGTGTGTAGAAAAAGTTCATCTGGGCTCAATCCAGCTTTGAGTCATGCTATTCCTTGAAGAGTGTGTGTTGTTAGAGTCGGGCAGAGTATTGAAAGTCCCTGAGGGAATTTGTCTGCCGAATTCTGCACTGCCAGAATTGAGAAATGGTGGCTGTGTTGGTTGAGGAATCTCGGGATTTTCGATCAGCATTTTCACAACTAATGACATTGCTGGACGCAGCTCTGCAGAGGCTTGCACACAAAGTAGCCCAATTTGAAGTAATCTAGATGCCTCTTCTTCATCAAACTTACCCTCTAGGAGTGGATCAACAGCACTGCATAGCCTACCCGTTCCATAAAGGTCCCAAGCCTTTTATGATACGAAAACATAAGAAATAGGTTAATATTTGCTTCAGTTTCATAAACTGTAAGTCGATGACAAGAGAACATATGCAAAATATATTCATTTACCATGTGTAGAATTGAAACTGAATTTGGAATGTAGCAGTTGTTCCTCTTTCCACATACGACTTCAATGACAAGAACTCCAAAACTGTAAACGTCTGCCTTCTCCGTCAACTTGCCACGAACGACATACTCTGGAGCCATATAGCCTCTAGAGAAGCAAATTTTAAATGCTCTACATTAGAAACCATAAGCACATCTATGAAGCAGCAAAGAAAAAAAAAAGCAGGTGCTCAACTTACAATGTGCCAGCAATGGCAGTGCTGATGTGAGTTTTATCTTCAGGAAATAATCTAGCAAGTCCAAAATCAGCAATCTTCGGCATGAAGTCCTCATCCAACAGAATGTTGCTCAGTTTTATATCCCTATGAATAATCCTCACTTTTGATTCTTCATGAAGATAGGCCAAACCCTCAGCTGTGCCCAATATGATTTTATACCTCAACTCCCACCTCAGCGGGTCGACATTATTTTTCACTGAAAATCATTCAAGGGATGAATAGCAAGAACAAGTAAATGGACTGAGAAAAAACAATTGTCTTCCCCAAAACAGGACAGAGAAGAGAAAATTACCAGTAAAATAATCATGAAGGCTTTGATTTGGGACATACTCATAAACAAGAAGGCTTTCAGGGCCTGTAATGCTGCACCCCAATAGCTTTACAAGATTTTTATGATGGATCCCACTAATCAAATTGACTTCATTGAAGAAATGATCCACCCATTGCCTAGTATTGAAGAACAGCCTCTTTATGGCAACAACCTTCCCATCTGGCAAAACTCCCTGTGTTGTTCATAAAGAAATTCACGAAGTCAATTGAATCCATTCCACATTACTTATATCCAAATCCCTCCTACAGAAAGAAAATCCATGAAACTACCTTGTAAACGGAACCGGACCCTCCTTGTCCAAGCTTGTTAGAATCATGAAAGTAATTGGTGGCCCTTTCAAGATCTTCATATAAAAAATTGAGTTGGGACTTATTCACAGTGGCCAACAGAGGACCTAATTGCTTTTTCTCTGAAGCAAATTTGGCATTAAAATTAGAAAACAAAAATGAATTCAGTGCTTAAAGATGGAATCTATTAGAACTTCAAGCCAAACCTCGGTACCTTTCCTCCTCTTCAGTATTTTCTTCCTTGTAAAGAAAGCAACCGAAAAAATACTCAGCACAACAGCAAAAACAGCAGATGTTACAGCCAAAATTATGGACAAGCCGCGGTGTCCTAACAAACATTTGCATGCCAACAATGAACATTATTACTCAGGAACAGATTTGGAGCGTTCACAACAGAAAACCAAATTTCAAAAGTCTTTACAATTCAATACATGAAACTTCGAAATCGATTTACAGTCGAAATCTCAATCCAATTCCAGTTCTTCGTATCAAAATAACACAGACAAAAAGTAAAAGCCAAGAAAACCAAACTAACCTCCATTTCCTGCAGCATCGGTGCTTGTATTGTTACTATAAAACTTCTGAGTCGAATACCTTAAGTAGCAACCAGCATTCAAGACCCTCCCTTCTGCTTTTGGTGGGCACGACCCAATTCTGACAACTGTGTCAGCCAAACACTCTTCACAAGCAGACCCATTCACAAACTCCCAACACTGAGCCAACCCATAAACCGTCTCATTCCCCTGACCCACAAACCCAACAGAAAACCCATCATTCTTCGGCGCCACGAAACTCAAGTTCCTCACCAACCTCAAAGCATTGTCCTTGAAAACACTCTGGTTCCCACCAAAACCTGTGGCCCCACAAACAGAGGTGTCTTGGGCGCTCAAGCTTTGGTTGAAGAAATTGAAGTCATCGTACCTCAAATAGCACCCATCGTAGAAAAGCCGGCCCCCACGAGTTGCTTTCTGAAATGGGAGGCACCTCAAAATCTGGGTCTTGCACTGAGCAAAGCAGACATCGCAGTCTTGTTTTGAGAGGTCCTTCATGCACTCGCCGAAAGCGTAGACGGTGTTGTTCTCGGTTCCATTGACAACAGCCGCGTATCTTTGGACAGCAATCTGAGGAGTCACTGCGTCCATGGTTGCCAAGAAGTTGGCTATGAAGGTTTGCCGCTCTGCCATCAAAGCAGTCTCGTTGGTGCACATCAGGGCTGCCTCTGTGGCTCTTGGGTCAGAATGAGCAGTCTTTACAAGAAAAAACAGAGGAAGGAGCAAAAGCAGCACACAGTTCTTGGACATGTTGAAGTTTGGTGCAAAGTTGCGAAAATCATTCAAAATATATTCTGGGAGCGTTCGGAATTGAATAACCAACAGTAGCATCCACCATCCACAAGAAGAAGGAATGTGATGGTGAGTGATAGAATGACCAGTTGGTGATGGTGGATTGACTGTGGTTGTGTGGAGCCAGGTGGTGACGTGGTGTCTGGTTATAAGAGCTTGTTGGGTGTAAATGACAGCTAGGTAATGGAATATCACTACTGCGGCGTTTTCTACGAAAGTCAAAGTCAACCGTCAATTGCTGCTGTTAGAAGACGGAGACGGGAGATCCAGCCGCGTACGGAACAACAACGAATTACTACGAAATGAGGAGCTTTCCATTTTTCTGAACCTCAGATAAAGACAAAAGAGCTAGCTTTCGGCATTGACAATTTGACAATCAATGACTCAATGGGTGGTAGGTTGATGCGACCTCTCGACGTAGTAAGAGGTGTATGCGACATGTCGTATCCGAGCATTACCGGAACCGGAGATCAAATGGCTAATGGATAAAGATCCGAGGCCCAATCTAAAATGAGTGTTTCCATAGTCATCAATATGGCTCAAGCTTCGTATTTGTTTTTTCAGGCCCAAACGAAAGAACGGCTTGTATTTCTCTTTGCGGTGTCAATTAACAATGACAAATGTTTTGCTGTCAATCTTGCACTTTAATTTCTGATCAATTAGTAAGTTAATACGTCGTTAATCACATATTTTGGCACACTCCATAATGTAGTTCTATTCCATGATCTGAGCCCCCGCTTACTTTTTGAATTATGAAATCATATTATGGAGTGAGTCTAAACGAGTGATTAACATTGTATTAACTTTAACGCTTGAGCATTATTACTTAAGTGATTTAAGATTTATGACTTATATGGAAAATATATTAATTAATTATATCCTAAAACAACCTAGTTTCTTTTACACATAAACACAATATCAACACAAAATAGATTAACCGAAGATTTGTACTTGTCTTACAAATTAGTACACAAAACCAAAACAATGAAGAATGTCCTTTAATCCACGGTTGGATTACAAAAATTGATTAACGCAGATTAAAAAAAAATCAACGGTGAATTACGACTAACACAACAACAATGTCACAATCATAATTCTTAACTACTCATACTGTTTGGAGAATGTTATTCTCATTTGAATATTCTTTTTTTTCTCATAACATGTATCATTCTTCTTAATATTTGTGCAACTATGGCCTATGAATTTGTTTTAAGTGTAAGACGATGATGGCACATGACATGAGGAGAAGGAAAAAGTACATCCAATAAGAAGATTAAAAGAGAAAGTTGGATAACATACCCCTTAATATTTTGTGTTTTAAGAGAAAGTTGAAAAACCAGCCGCAATAGTGACAGGAGCTGCATAAATTAATGGCACCGACCGGTCCCACGTGTGGCCCACGGCGTGCGAGAAGAAGACAGAGACAAAGAGTAGAGCTTCAGAAAAGGTCCTAACATTTCCTGCTTATATACCACACAGCCTTTTTCAGTTCTTTCCCTTTTTATACATGAACGTGCGAGCCATCTTCTCTTAAACTAAAGGCACCAGAATTGTAATGGCGAATGGGGCCTCCATATTCTCCAACTTGTAACTAGAAAACCTGCCACTCCTTTTATTTGTTTTATGCATGCCAAAAACAAAAAGATAGTAAGAATCCACCACTTTCTCAATCAAACTCTCCTTTTTGCCATCTTTGTTGTTCTGCAATCTGCTTTGCTAGGTTTGGTTTGATGAACATTCTCTCTGTGCTCCATGTTATTTATATTACTTCAACAACAACAAAAACCTTGGACCACCAACCTTTTTACTTTGAGTTCTATTTTGGAAATCTGATATAATATTCTGAAAGTTTAGGTGCTGCAGGTTATTCATAATATACTGCATGCCAGGGTCCAACGAGAATAAAATTGTGTTTTTAAATGGATGACAACCCCATTTATCAGATGGAGGAATCCAGATCATTCATTTTCATTCATACCTTTAAGGTTTCAGCACCTTCTTATGAACTAGTTAAATTAATACAATATTAATTCAGGCTTAATAATGTTATCCAAGTTCCTATCTGAAAATATATATATATATATATATATATATAAAATACTTTCCTCATCTAACTTCCACTCAACTAAATGATGGATTTGTCCTTATATTAAGAAGCTCCAATTTCCAATTATAAGACACACGTAGGATGACGGAGTAATTTTTGTATGTTTCCGGTACACCAGTTGATTTACACTCCAATACACATGGGACATGAGGAAATATTGTCCAATACATATAGGGCATAAAAATAAAATATTTCCACATGTCCCATGTGTATTGGATTGGATGGTACACCAACCAGTTGGTGTATTCGAAACATACAAAAATTTATCGGACATAAATACACAAGAGAGAATATATCACCTAGGATTAATGGAAACCGAAATTGCATGATTAGTTATAGCAAAAAGATCAGGGGTAATAACTTGGAAGGCAGCTAAATTTGCTCAAGCTTGTAGGAATATATATAATGGATCACAGATTCACAGATGGATAATTAATTTTGAATCATAGTAAATCAAGCAGCTGAAACACATATAGTTTCTGCAGGACATGGTTGTTAAATGGCTCATCATTTTGCACTAGTCTTGCTTGAAGATAGACAGATTTTAAATGGCAGAATATTTAAGCTGCATACTTGTAGATGACTCAGAGATCACTTAAAGATAATTATTAATCCAAATTCTATCATAAAATATTGTAACAAAAAAAGAAAAAAGAAAGGGCACCTAGTGCAGTAGAAGAGGCATAGAACTCATAATTAAATTTAAAAGCTAGCTAGCTAGAAATGAAGGGTGTTCATGAATATTAGAATCCAAGCAAGGGTGCTTTCGTAAAAGACCCTTGTATAAAGTTTATAAACTGCCTATAACTACCTTACCCTCCCTGCTGCAAGCAGAGTGCTTCCTGAAACTTAGAGACAATATCTCTCTGCTCTAAGCATACATAGAAGCCTAAAACACAGATGAAGAGGAGCAAAAATTTATCTTCTCTACTTTTCTTGTTTTTTATTGCCTTCCTGTCATTTCTTATTGCTTCAGTTGAGGCAAGAAAAATCATACCAAGAAGAGCAAACCACATAAACATCATCAAGGAAGGGGTGCCACCAGTGGCAATAACACTCATAATTCACATTTGCCTGGCCCTGCTCCGGCCCCTCCTCAACCCCAACAGTCTACCATTTTCCCCGTCTTGTCATTTGGTGCCAAGGGTGATGGAGTCTCCGATGATTCGAAGGTAAAACAACATTGGGAAGTGCATATATATGTTCTCGTGTGCTTGCATTAATTGTGTGTGTGTGTGTGTGCGTGCTGGAGAATAAGATAGAATGAAATAACATATGTTCTAATTTTATTGAGCATCCCAATCCATCAGGCACTTGTAGCAGCATGGGAAGCGGCCTGCAGGGTTAAAGGGGCAACTGTGGAAATCCCTTCAGGATTCAAGTTCCTCATCCAGCCTATAACTCTTGATGGCAGCGGTTGTATGCCTGACCTTGTTCTTCAGGTTTATTTTGTTCTCTCTTTTTCTAATTTATCATTTCATCAGATTTCAATAACTATATATTTCATGCTGCATTAGGAAATAAAGAAATGAAGAAGTGTAAGAAGTGCATATGCTTCTTGCACTTAACCATGCTTTAATAACATGCAAAGCTAACTAATAATATTAATGTGATTTTGGAATTCCAACAGATAGATGGAACTCTCTTGGCTCCTTCAAAAGCAAGTACCTGGCCAGAATCCAGTTTGTTCCAATGGATAAACTTCAAATACGCTCGTAACTTCACCATCCAGGGCACTGGCATTGTTGATGGCCAGGGCTCTGACTGGTGGAATTCATCTGCGCACAAGAGGTCCGAGCACACTTCAGATACGAAACCCACTGTAATTATATCTCTTTCGAGCCTTTTCTTCCTTCTCATTATAAACTGTTTGAAAAGAAATAAAAAAATCAGATGCAATGCAACATGGTTTTAAAGGCTCTCTCTCTTTTCTTATTTTTACATGCAGGCTTTGAGATTCTATTGTAGCTCAGATGTCACAGTTCGAAACATCAAAATCATAAACAGCCCTCAGTGCCACTTAAAATTTGACAGCTCTTCATGGATCAAAGTGAACAACATTACCATCACTTCACCAGATTATAGCCCAAATACAGACGGCATTCACTTGCAGAACACACAAAACGTGGAAATTCACCATTCTACTATTGGCTGTGGTAAGTAAGAATAATCAAGCCATAATTAATATCCTTTTTTTTAATTATAAATAATTGAAAAATAAAAATAAAAAAGGAAAATGTGTGCTAAAAAAAAGTAGTCAGTGCCCAGTGCCTAGATGGTGCATTGCGCACTTGGAATTGTACTGAAAAAGATAGTTAGCTCACTGGTACGAGGAAGAAAATAATTTATAAACTGGTGCCTCATAAACCTTTTCAAACGGTAAACTGTCACTCTAGTATAACTTTTGAAGCAAGCAGGGATTTGCAGGGCACAAGAAAAACAATGTGCAACTTGCCAACTTGACTTCTGTATGCCTGATATTGGAGCTCCACATTATTATTGTTATTATATTAAATCCTAACATTTGTGGTTTCTCTCTTTATACAGGAGATGACTGTGTATCCATACAAACAGGATGCTCTAACGTTCATATTCATCATATTAAATGTGGCCCTGGCCATGGCATAAGGTATGCCACATACATATACATTGACCCTTTTTAGATCTTAGTTAAATTTCAATAGAAAACATGAGTTTTTTATTATTTTATTTTTATAAATCAACTATATTTGTTTTATTCCTTTCTTTCTTTCTCGTATTACAGTCTAGGAGGACTCGGAAAAGCCGGAAGTGTAGCTTGTGTCTCAAACATCATCGTGAACAACATTTTATTTCAGAATACTCAATCAGGAGTTAGGATCAAGACTTGGCCGGTACGTATAAATAAAGTTAATAATTAATTGCGTACTTACTAATTAAATCCACTTGTTAATAAATCCTAAATTTGGCAGGGAGGAAAGGGGTCCGTGAAGAATGTATCATTCTCCAACATCCAGGTTTCCAATGTGGGGGTTCCTATAGTGATAGACCAAAACTATTGTGACAACATGAAGAAGCATTTGTGCCAGAACCAAATTAGAGGAGCTGTGGCAATCTCAGGTGTTAAATACGATAATATAATTGGGAATTATTCAAAGGAGCCAATTCGTCTAGCTTGTAGCAATGACACTCCATGCACAGATGTGGATCTTATTGATATCCAGCTTAAACCCACAACCGGGGACCCGAGATCACTTCGATCCGATTTGTGTCGAAACTCTTATGGGAAGTCAAAAGCTCCCTTGCTTCCTTCAGTCATAGACTACTGCTTGAGAAGGGATGGGGGTCAAGTCAAGCATATAGCAAGGTCAAATGAGAAGATGTGTTAGAAAGATTTATTTGATTTGGCTTCTTTGAGCTTCCCTTCTACAAAAATATTTACAATTCTGTTTGAAGGTGATGGATGGTATAAAAAAAAATTAAAAAAAATTAATGTTTGCTGTGGTATTGCAGTGTAATTCAGTTCGTACTTTGTATGAAAGAATAAATAAAATAGTTTCTTTGTTCTGAGTAAAAGGGTCTAAAAGCTTCCAAGCTTGAATTGTTTATTCAAATTTGTGTTGTGTCCACTTTAGAACGAGAAACCAGAACCAGACCCGTTTGAGTGGGTGACTTAGGTTTTGATAGTGGAAGAGGAGGTGGGTGCTGGCACCGTCCAACGCAGCCTTTAGGCCTCAATGCACGCGCATGGCCTAAAAAACTTTGCACAGATAATAAAGACGATGTCTTTACTTTCTGTCTCTTGATCATTCATCAAATATAATATTTGTTTACAGACTCACTTGTTCATCTCCACTCTTAGCCTACATCTTTCTCAAATTTTATTTTATTTTCAATCGGAAAGTCATTGTTTATTAGCTGACAAAGATTTTGGTAACTTGTAGAGATATGCAACAGTTAAGTTTCTCTTAGAAGAGCTCAAAATCACAACGGATCAGAAAGATCTCTTGCTAAAAAAGTCTGCTTCCTTGGGTTTCAATTTTCATCATGCACCTACTCATGATATGAGAAAAAGTGTGAACCGATCCACTTGGTTCCTCAAAATTCTTTGACATTGGTTCAAGCATATATAGCTAGCTACTCATGATATGATGCAGCCTGCTTAGTGATCACGTCGTTGAGTCTCTCCTCGCCATGTTACATGTTTTTCCATATTTGCTAAGAAGAGTTGTGATTTTGATGGGAAACTTTCCTCTTCTCGACTACAAAGTCTGGAATTTTATTGTTTGGCCGATGACCATTTGGCAAAGAATGACGTGGATCAATGATGGGCTTGCAGTTGTATAAAACCGGAAGGCCATACCAAATAATAAGGTCGTTTGGTGAATTGGATTATGTAGTTGGATGAGATTTATAATCCTCGTCAAATGTTTGATGGCCTAAAAACATGGATTGGATTATGTCTAATCCTACTACGAGCCAAATGTAGTATGATTATACCTACCAAAATGTTGGGATTAAGTTGGATTGGAGTTTGTCTAATCCTACTAAGCCATGTAATAGCACATTTCAATTAATTCAACCCCATAATCATATGTGGTATCATGGGCGGAACCACACTATAGGCTACAGTGGGCTGTAGCCCAGTGTGGTTTTTGAAGGGAAAAAAATATAAAACCTATATATTTAACTTGTTCTCAATATTAGCCCAGTTAGTGGCGGACTTATTAAGGCGCAAGGAGGTGCAGCTGAACCTCCCATCACCGAAAAAACCATTGTAGGTGCTTCAAATTGCCTATTTGCTCAGCTGGTGGTAGTGTACTCCAAGTGTATATATTACCTTATTTCCATTTTCAGCATTTAAGTAAAGGTCTTTGTCATTTTACTTTCATTTATTTTTGTATTACTCAATTTACTTAAGTTTACAATGTAAATAAGGAAGTACCCCCATTTTGATTCAAATAAAAAATATTTGAAAATCAAATTCCCATCAAATCAATATGAAAATTCAGTTTTAGTGCAAAATACGATTTAGGGTAAAAATTATGGATAACTAAGTCAATATACTTCATAATAAAATCCCATAAAATCAAGTTTTCTTATTTGATGTGTAAGGAATAAAAGCCGCCAAAAAATTATCTTGAGAAAATGATTATTCCGAAAAACCATTTTTCATACTTAGTCAATATTATTAAATAAAACAATTTTTCATGTATGGTATGAATGCATGAAGGGACCTAAGGTCAATTTAGGTATAAAAAATCTCAGATGTTCAACCCACAAAGAGTTTTTAGCCTTTTAAAATTGCACATCTGCTAAAAAAATTCATGGGTCTGCTAGTGAGCCCAGTATATATTACCTTATTAAGCCCCAAAAAGTCCAATTCTTTTTATAAATTTAGTTGGAGGGCAGCAATAAAAATACACATTAAAATAGTTTCACTTTCAGTTATGTTATTGAACATATTTTCATTTTGATCATATGTGTTTTTCAGTTGTATTTAATATGTTTTTGTTTTTTTGTTTTTGATAAAGAGAGATAGTATTTTATTGATAAGAGGAACATAAACAAGTACAGAGCCACTATGGTGTTAAACCCTATTTGGTTTATGTTAAAGCTTATTGAAAATTAGTTTATGAAGCTATGAACTAGCGTGGTTTATATGATTTAATGTTTACTGTTATTGCTAGAAAGACTATAGAAATTGTAAGTACCAAAAAAATAATCATTAAATTTTAAGCTAATAACATTAGCTAGCCCACCCGTTGAAAAAGTCTTGGTTCCGCCCTTGTGTGGTATCAAACACATCATTGGATTAGGGTTATTATTTCCAATCCAATGTAATCCAATGCAATCCAATGCAATCCAATTCTACCTCATAATCCAATCCAATCTCAGTCACCAAACATGTCTTTTGTTCCCATTTCCTTGGAAAATATGGGAAAACATGTAAGATGGTGACTGAAAATGGAAATTGTAGAAAAGGAAAAGAAGACGAAGTGGGCAACAATTTATTACCATGTGGGCTGCATGTGGCAGCTTATATATGGTTGAACCAATGCGAAAAACGTTTGACGAAATCAAAGAGATGGCTTCACTTCATCTTGAAAAAATATTGTGGCTTGTCGATATGACGCTATGAAATTATTTATTTGAATCGTAGTAGCTTTGAATGTGATTTAATATTTAATATTATACAATATTGTATGTGTCAAATGAATGAAAATTCAACTGTTTCATTGGTTTGAAGTACAATTTTTTATTACAATGGGTGTCACTGTCAACAAGCAGCTCATCTCTTTGTCACTGCTCTTTCTTGCCTTCCTCTCAGGCCAAGCTCATGGACAGGGCATGGATCTATGTGCCGGAGCTAACTACGCAGCCCTCTGCCACTCGGTTGTGGGAAGAGAGAAAAGCCCATATGTCGCCGCGGAGGCAACTGTCAACCGATTGATTTCAGAGACAAAGCAAGCAAAGAGTTCAGCTGCTAGGCTTCCCCACAAGGACTCTCCAACTTGCACGTACGTGTATGACGAAGCCCTTTACAGCCTCAAGGAGAGCCTGCGGAGTCTCAAGAGTCATGACATAGGCAGCTTCAACGTCAAACTTTCTGCGGTTATGAGCTTCGCCGAAGCATGCAAAGACTCGTTTGAGGAAATGGGGAAGCCATTCCCCATTGCCAAGCAGAATGAACTCATCAAACACATTGCCAGCAATGCTTTGCATATAGCAACATTCATTCCCTGAAGACGCCGCTGTGATTATTCATGGATTAGCCTAAAATAATTTGTAATACATATAAGAGATGAAAGAAAATAAGTGAGGTTATCAAATATGCCGCAAAACTTTTGATTAATAAGAAGAGTTTGATGGGTTAATGTCATAGCAAAACTAGCTGGGCCTAGCAAGGCATTGCTGATTCTTATCAAGAATACCCATAGCCCAAACAAACAGCGGAAAGGTCCATAATATGCCGCAAAACTTTTTGGTTTTTTTGGTCGTATATGCGGCATATAATATGCCCAAACTGTCAAACATTTGGGAATCTAGTCTCTTGTGTTTTCTAGGCTTACATTAGGAGGACGATGGTCAAGGCTTTTGATGAGTATAGTCTAGAGAGGTAGGTAAATTTCATGCCAAATTCGTTGTTCAGTTCCAAATCATCATCAAGTTGTTTGGTGCATAATTCTACCTCCTTATTGGACTTAAATTGCTTTGGCTCTGTTAGGCAATAAAAAAAATCACCCATTTGAAACAAATGTTTGACACAATTGACCACATAAACTTTCTTGCTTTAACAAATATTGACACCTAAAGGAAACTTTTCATTTTGCTTAGACTAAAACAGTACTTGATCAACTGTAAAAGCTATAAACATGCAGAGATTTCTGAGCTTTTTTGTTTGAAGCTTCACACATGTGGTGGTGAAGTCTCATCAGAAGGCCTGGTTACAGAGTCGTGTTTTCCTCTTTCACTTCTGCTGTTCTCAGCAAATTTGACACTTGCCTGGTGAAACCCTTTGTCCTTCTCCTTCGAACTCCACTCAGACATGTAGTAGTCTTCTTCTGTGGCCTTCTTTTCAGATGGACCACAGAACATGCCACCCCATTGTGGGAAGTAAATCAAAGTCATTGGGAGGGTACAGCAGATGATCATGATCCCCATTAGAGTTATGCCTGTTTCTTTTGAATATTTTGATCCTTTGAAGAATATCAGTTGGGTCAGAACCGCACCCACATTTCCACCTCCTCCTGTCATACCAGATATGACCCCTAATGACCTGAAAAAAAAAAAGTATGGAAATTGTGTCACATAATTACACAATAATGTAGCTAACAAGGCAACGTGTCAAAGTTTTCATTTCTCTACTCTGACGGTAGAGGTAGAGGGATCAACATAAATTTGTTTCATGAAAACTAACACTTCGATCGATGTTTCTAACTTTCTGTGATCAATTAGCTGTTCTCTGCTAGATAATTAATATTGCTTGACTTGCTTTTAGTTAGCAAATCTTTCTCGTTGAAAAAAAAACACTAGGGAAATTGAAAAACTTAAATGATGGAACAAATATTTGTGAAAAAAACTTACCTTCTCGAGACAAAAGGAACCACCCCAAATGTAAGCCCACAAGCACCTTGGACAAAGAAGGAGAACAAAATCATCACAGCAATGGATGCAGTCAAAGAATTCACCTGCCCAAGAATAACACAGAGGACACCTCCAAAGGTTTGTACAATCCACAAAGTCCACAACCTGCCCCTCATCCCAAACCTCTTTGCCACTACATCTGACAGAATCCCTCCTCCAGGCCTAGAAACAATATTTGCCAAACCAAAAGTTGCTGCTATGATCCCTGCAGTGTGGAGATTCAGATTGAATCTGTCATAAAAGTACTCTGCTATTATGTTGTCCACTGCCAGCTCAACCCCAAAGCAATATCCATAAGTCAAAGCCAAAATCCACCCTCTGTAATTTGTAACCCCATGGTAGAAGACGCTTGAGAATTTGTCTTTTGGCTTCTCCCCAGATTTCTGAAGGCCATGGAAGTTCCCGTCTGGCATGTCCTCACCAAATATCAGAATAAGAAATGCTGAAAGCGTCTGAAACAGGGCAGGGATGAAGAAGGCGATCCTCCAAGCTGTGAACTTGGCAGCGCCAATGTTCTTGATGACGTCAAAAACAAGGGGCATGATCAGCTGCGTTGCTCCACCACCCAAGTTTCCCCACCCGCCTGCAACTCCATTGGCTGTGCCAACAACTGGAGGAGAGAACATGGAGCTCATCCAGAATTGGGTTGAGACGAAAGTGGCCAAAGAGAAGCCTGTGAAGAAACGCACGAGGAGGAAAGAGATTGGAGATGAGGCCACGGAAGTGAAAAAGACTGCTGGTGCAGTGAGGAGGATGAGCGAGGCAGAGGCAAGCCGCGGTCCAAATAAGTCACAGGCAGTTCCCATGGCTATTCTTGCAAACACTGCACCAGAAACTGAAGCTATCCCGGCATTACCGATGTCGGTAGCCGTTAGATTGAGGTTGTCACGTATGACAGGAATGAGAGGCGGCGCGGCGAAGCTGGAGACAAAGCAGAGGAAGAAGGAAAACCAGGACAAGTGAAACGCTCGCATGTGGGGTTTGGCTATGGAAAACAATCTGAACTCGGTGGCCTTGTGATCAGAGTCCACAGGCAGAGCAAATTTTGGAGACTGGGTTCCCATCACACTGCTCTCCACTTCCATTTTTTTCTACCCTTTGATCGGAAACAAGAAAAGAGCTTGAAAAAAAAAAGCAGGAACAAGAAAATTGTAACTGGTTTTGGATATTGGGTAAGACCGACTGGTGCCTTACAAAAGATACATGCATACAAACAAAAGTTCCAAGCTTTTACTTTTCTTGTGTTTTGGCTGTTACTTATAAATAGTATTGATGAAAAAAGGGAGGTGTGGCCTTCTGTAGGCCCCGAAAGGCATGGTTTTGGAGCTTGAAACTATGTGAATCCGCCGAGTCTCACCCTTTCACTGCGGCTTGAAGATGCAGGGGAATTAAAGTTGAATAGATCAAAAGACTTGGAGGGTAGTGGTTGGCAGGAAGTGTGTTTCAAGTTTTGAGTGTAACGTTTTGTGGAATTCAAATTCACAAATGCCAAGGATTTTGGAATTTGACGAACAAGTTGGGCTTGGCATTGACTTATTAATTTGGAGCTTTGGAGCGGTTGCCTTCTTACAGAGGGATGGAATCCAAAGCAGTTCCTTCTTGACTGAGTAAGAGATTCCTCTTCTATCAAATTTAATGTGCATTTGACTTTGGAGCTTGGACTTATTTCACACATGGCATAGTGGGCGGTGAAGGATGGTATAGGGGCTTCAGGTCTTGAGCCCTTAACCATCTAAACCACAGAAAATCTAAGTCCTTGGAATTAGAATGGATGTGACGTACACAACAAATCAAACCCCTTCAAACAACTCATAGGAAGAATTTATATCAAATACAATTACATTTAGAGAGATTTAGTTATATACCTATTCTTAGCACTAATAATATAGATAAATCCTACCCCATTTAATTTCTATAAACAAACCCAAAAAATGACAGCTGGCTCTATTGAATTTAATTTTGATTATTAAATTACTTTGATGCCCTATTGAGTGTTTAATTTTTTTTATGAGGTTTTGGAGTTGGGTTTGTTTTAAGAAATCAATGACAATTTTGTATTTTGAAAGAAGTTAAAAGCCTTTTTGTTATATTGTAAATGGGTTTTGGGCGTGTTTCTAAAGTCCATTTCATGTAGTTTTTTTGAAATATATATATATATATAATTTGAGCTCTTATATTGGGTATAATAGTAAATCTCCCTTAAATTTAAAACTAAACTAAATTATAACTAATTATAACAACAAAGACAAAATCTAACCAACTACCTTATAGAATCACGCCAAAAGTAATTAAGACGATCATCGCCAATCTTGATAGGTAGTTTAAGCTCATCATAATAACCATTATTCACCATATTTGTCCACTACTTAAGATTGTGTTCTAAGCAATCATAACAGACTCCAGATTCCCTTCCTCAACTCGGTATCATCAGGTAATGTGGGAAATTGCTTTTGTTGGGAGAACAAATACGTCCATGACCGTAAAACAACACCATCAGTAACTGCACAATTCATTTCAAATACTGTTTTTGCATTTTATCCAGCAAAATATAAATAATCCTCATATAGGTGGCTCGTGGGGATCAAAATATAAATAATCCTCATATAATTTTGAAAATTTTTATAACTAAACTTGAAACTATAAAAACAAACCACATAACCAATGACCTCGTTCTTTTTATCATTGTTATGATGAAACGTTTCAACATACTCAAACTTCTTTCTCCAGTCCTCAATTTACTGAAAAGAATTCTTAGCAATGAGAGTAATCTGCAAGAAAAGATGGAAACAAACAAACATTTAATCCTTTTAATCAGCTAGCCATAAAGCAAACAAATTGCAATGCATTTTAGCCTTCTAAATCAGCGTCCCAAGTGATGTGGCATATCCCATATGATTCATACTTATATTAATAAATTTGTGACATGTTGTTTTAACATAAAATCATTAAAAAGCAAGATTAATTTTACATTTATCAACAATTGAATTACAATTCATATCTATTTCCTTACCATAATAATGCTAGATTTGATTATATTCACATCTTTCAAATAGATTGTAAAACCTAAAATGGGTCACGATCACAATTAGGTTTTCATGTTTTAAGACTATTTGCTTTTAAGCTTTACTTTCTTTTTCACTCACTTCCCATTTATTGTCTTTCCTTCTCACGTCATGTTTATTTGAATAGAATTTGATCGTCTGTTCTTTTTTGTCTCACATTTTTGGAAATAAAATATGAAGCTAAAATAGCCCATATCATCACTGGTTTTGCATTTTAGTTCCACAGTTTCTTTTTCACTTATCTGCTCACCTCTTATTTATCTTTCTCACATCACCTTTTTGGAAACAAAATTGAAACCTCTTGTCTATTTTCCTCTCACATTTTGTCTTTAGAAATTGAATGTAAACCTAAAAATAGCTCACATCATCACTGGTTTTGCAGTTTAATAATGTCGTTTCCTTTACACTCATCTTCTCACCTCTTTTCTTTCTTTCTCATGCTAGCTTTTTGGAAATATAATTTGAACCTCGTCTTTGTTCTTCACATATTTTATCTTTAGAAATTGAATGTAAACATAAAAATAGCTCACATCATCACTAGTTTTGCAGTTTAATACTGTCGTTTCTTTTTCACTCATCTTCTCACCTATTTTTCTTTCTTTCTCATGTTAGCTTTTTGGAAATCTAATGTGAACCTCATCTTTCTTCTTCTCACATTTTGTCTTTAGAAATTGAATATGAAGCAAAAAAATTCCTCATATCATCATTGGTTTTGCAGTTTAGTGCCACGATTTATTTTTCACTCATCTGCTTACCTCTTGTCTTTCCTTCCCATATCACCTTTTTGTAAATAGAATTTTAACTACATCTTTCTTCCTCTCACGTTTTGTCTTTAGAAATTGAGTATGAAGCTAAAAATAGCTCATATAATCACTAATTTTGCAGTTTAATGCCACTGTTTCTTTCTAACTCATCTGCTCACCTCTTGTCTTTTCTTTTCATATCACATTTTTGGAAATAGAATTTGAACCTCTTGTCTACTTTCTTCTCACATTTTTTCTTTACAAATTGAATGTAAACCTAAAAATGGCTCACATCATCACTGGTTTTGCAGTTTAATACTGTCGTTTCTTTTTCACTCATCTTCTCACCTCTTTTCTTTCTTTCTCATGTCAGCTTTTTGGAAATCCAATTGGAACCTCATCTCTCTTCTTCTCATATTGTCTTTAGAAATTGAATATGAAGCAAAAAATTGCCCATATCATCATTGGTTTTGCAATTTAGTGTCATTGTTTATTTTTCACTCATCTGCTCACCTCTTATCTTTCCTTTCCATTTCACCTTTTTGGAAATAGAATTTGAACTTCATATTTCTTCCTCTCATATTTTGTCTTTAGAAATTGAATATAAAGCTTAAAATAGCCCATATCATCATTAGTTTTTCAGTTTAGTGCCACCGTTTCTTTCTTACTCATCTGTTCATCTCTGTTTTTCCTTCTCAGATCACCTTTTTGGAAATAGAATTTGAACATCTTGTCTACTTTCTTCTCACATTTTTTTTCTTTAGAAATTGAATGTGAAGCTAAACATATCCCACATCATTACAAATTTTTAAGTTTGAATAGAGGCCTATAGGGTTGTAGACCAACCTAGTCTATTAATATGTCAAGTGTAGAGCCTAAAGGGTATAAGATGCTTTGCTTTGTGTAGCGCTGTAGCTATAGGATTGTAGGTAGAGCCTAGGGCCTAGGTAGATATGTGATTGGATAAAGTTTGGCCCTCCATTGACCCTTGGCTAGCTTGATAATGATGGTTTTAAAATTTTTATTTTTATTTTTATTTTTTTTGAGTTAATTCTTTTTTAGTGGCTCGGTGCACTATGAGAGTGATTATTTGTTTTAATATTTAGTAAAATAAGGTAATTATTGCGCAACGAATTTGCCTTGTTGTATGCTTCTTCTTATCCACCTAGTGGCATCTCAATTATGAAGTTTCAGTGAAAAAAAAATAAAAAATTGAATTATATTATGTCCAAATTCAAAATTTGAAATATAACTTGAATCACACACCCAACATTTTCTTAATAATTCTATTCAAAATTTGAGAAATATGTAGGTTCTTACATTGTTGCGGTTGCTTTTCTGCATTCAAATCTATAGCGGTTTTGATAGGCCTCCCATTTCGGAGTGTGATTGCCTTCACATGTTCTTGAATTTTTAGATTAACCTTGGATTAGTTCGGCAAAACTCCTCTCTCTCTTATCGTTTGCCAATTTACCCATTTGAATTTCTAAATTTCTTATGGAAGCGGCTTGATTTTGTAAGGTCGTCTCCGTCTTAATCATGAATTGATTTGTATTTGTAGCGAGTTGTGTGATTATGTTTTCCAAGTTATTTTTCTTCTCTTGTGGTTGAAAACCTTGTGGTGGTTTTTGTATGTTTTGATTATTGCTCCATGAAAAATTGTGGTGCCTTTGCCATCCCGGATTGTATGTGTTGGAGAATGGATCATTGACGGGTTATCTATAGGTATTCACCATGTTTGCTTGTTCTTGAAAAAATTATGGAAAATAAACTCCATGAGGATAAGATATGGTGGCGTGACCAGGAATGGAGCAAACCTCTTGTGTTGAAACTATCTCATTAATAGCAAGCAAGGCATTCAATTTACTGGTAATAGCGTCAACCTGTTCTTTAGGCAAAGCATTATAATTACCAATTTCATAAACTCCGGCATGCTTACCTCTCATATCAGAATGTTGTGTTTCAAGAGCGAGAGTATCAAACAAAGTTCGACATTCAGTTGGGGTCTTGTTCTCAATAAATCCACCTGCATAGTTATTCACGCAGTCTTACTTGAAACGATTAGTGCTTTATAAAAAAATACGCATGAGAACTAGTGTAGGCAAACCATGGTGAGGACATTGTATTAAAAAATTATTGAACTATTCCCAAGCTTAAAAAAATAACGCATCTGCATGTTGACTGAATTGCATGATTTTATCCCTTAGTGCATCAGTTTTTTAAGTCGAAAAGAACTTCTCCAAGACTTGCTTTGAATCTTATTCCAGCTACTTAATTCAG